ATTTTTTTTCCCCCCCCCCCCCCCCTCCACTCCCCTCCACTCCCCTCCCCTACACTACTAGCATTCTGGACACACCATCACACCATAAGGTGAAGTCATGCGCTTAGCAGTCACAGCAGTACGACGCTGGCCATGAGGTTGCGCAATACAGCACGAACCCTGCACAATGAGGTTGCGCAATGCGGCTTCGATGCTGCGCGTGCGCGCCCGCCAGCCTGACATAGCGCATACTGCGTTCACAGACCATATTGCTCGACACCAACGAGCATCGATGTAACACAGCCTCTCTGCAAAGCCCTGTGGAGAAACCTCTCGCTTCGCGGAGCCTTGCGTGGCCACATCTTACCGCATCGTGGAGCACCGCTACACAGTTATTTACGCACCCTTCCTATCAGCCACCCACCATAGCGTGACGTCCATCCCTGGCAATACCGGCGGTTTCGACGCAACGCGTGCAGGCCTGTAATCCTGACACGGTGCGTGTAGCTGTGGGAAGATAGCTGGTCAACATGCGAGCGTTTACGCATTGCGACTTTTATGCGCGCCTGTTTTCAATACACCTTTACACAAACAAGCCTCAACGTAACGCAGCCTCTCTGCAGAGCCGGGTGGCGCAATCTGATCGCAACGGTGTTCCTCTTGAGCCTTCTTGTGCTCCTTGGCTTTGTTGGTTCCATGCATGATTGAGCAAGGGAAACGTTCCTGAAATACCGGAGACAGTTCTTCACTAGACAAGGTCCCGACAGTTACTAGGTCCGTTACGTTTTTACCTTTCGTGTTTCCGTACTCAAGTCTAAATGTAATTAAAACTAACTTCATAAAATACATAATTACAACATAACACATTTAGAACCGGATAATCCCATATGTTAATAAATTTACTAGATACAGGAATTTTTGGTGATTAGCAATAAATTGGTGGCAAAAAATATTTTACATACGAAAATTATAGAAAGAAGGAAAATTTGATTCTTTATGTGAATCGCTCGCTGAGCGATTAGGTTTGAACCAACTCGTACCGCCCTTAGCTGGGTGGGCTCAAAGCTTGAGGAAAGCCGGCGCGTGTTTGCGGTTCGTTCCGCTTCGACCTCGCTTGCACTTGGTTCGGGACTTCGTTTGCCTGACCGCTTTTTCTACATTGGTAGCGGAGCCCTGTGAAGGGGCTCCGCTGCGCACTTCGCGACGACGAGCCGCCGAAGGTCCGGGATAAGACCAGGGTCACGGACGGTTCGAAGAGCTCTTTGTGTTTGCCTCTACCTTTGCTTGGCTTCGTGCACTGGCTACCTGAACACCCCAGCCACCAAGCAGGTGATTGAAGAGCTCTATCCTACCATGCCGCCTCCGAAGAAGACTGAGACCCAGGCACCTACCGGCTCACGAGATGGTGGAGGAGGCTATACGGACCTGAGGGATAGCTATGTCCCCACCTGCCAACCGGCCGACTACAAGGAATGGCGCCAGCAGATCCATCTCTATCATCGCAAGATGACGCTCACCAAGAGAGGCAATGAGTCCGTCCTGAACATCATTGGATCTTTCTAAGGAGTCACCTGGCGATTTTTCCAGGATTGGAGCCTCGAGGAGCTGGAGAAGGAGTCATCCTTCGACCGCATCATTGCTACGTTGGATGCGAACTTCCAATACGATGCCCGAGTTCAGTTGCCCAACGACTTTGAGGGCTACTTCAACCTGCTCCAACGTACAAGCGGCCAGACTCTGTTGATGTTCGTGGCCGACCACGAAGAGGCTTACAGGAAGCTCCAACAACACAAGGTCGAACTTCCGGCCTCAGTTCAGGGCTGGCACTTGTTGCGACATGCCTCCATCTCCAAGGAACAACGACAGATGGTAACGCTGAAGGCCCCGAGTTTGGAAAAGAAAGATGTGATAGAGGCCCTCTACCTGCTGCTCGGTCAAGACTACAAGGGAGGAACCTGGCCAATGGAGCGCAAGCGATTTGGCTTTGCACCATGGCGCAACAACCGTGCCTACATGGCCGACGACTATGATGATGAAGAGCCATGGGAGTCAGGTTATTATGAAGGTGATTGGACTGAAGAACCCACCTATGCCTCCTACGAGGACTATGACTACGAGCCTGAGGAGCCCGACGAGTTTGACAATGAAGTAGGCTACTATGGTGAAGAACAATAGCCTGATCCCGATGCCGAGCCTGTTAGCCCTCAACACATGGCTGAAGAGTACGACCACGCCTTTGCCTCGTACACAGATGCTCGGAAACGGTTCCAAGAGCTGAAGATGGCCAGAGGATATCTTCCAGTGGTAGCTTTGACCGATGGCTCACAGGCACCAGTGTCTCCTGCATCCAATGCTACATCATCACCTTCCTCTTGGCGCTCAAAAGGAAAAGGGAAAGGAGGCACCAAGTCTGGCAAGTCCAAAGCCAAGACGACAATTCGCTACCCACCTCAAGGTGTTGGCAAAACAGATCCCAAAGGAAGAGTTCGTGTAGCGCTCACTTGTCTGAGGTGTGGCTAACCTGGTCATAACCTGGTCATTGGGCGGCCAACTGCCCACAAGCTTTAAGCAGCTCACCTTCCAAGGCTGGAACGAAGAGGCCCGCTCCTACGGAAGGCATGGCATTTGCAGCTCAACCCGAGGAACTTGCTCTCCTCACCTTCCAAGACGCCAACGGCTTGGAGCGATCTGACTGCGCTATGTTGGATCCTGGTGCAAGTGCATTCCTTTCAGGTTATGGCCCTTTCCGTGAAGACCTTGGCTATCCCACCGATCTCATTAAGATGACAAAAGGCCGAAGACGATTTTAGTTCGGTGGAGACGCCTCACAATGGTCCGACTGGAGCACACACCTTCCGGTCTTCGTTGATGGCAAGTACGGAACAGTTGAAGTGTTCTTGCTGCCGGGCAATACGCCCTTGCTTTGTGGAAGACCCATCATAGAAGTCTTGGGCATGACAATGGATTTCGCCAACAAGAAGCTCAAGATTGGCGGATCACCTTGGCAACCGGCCACGCTTGGTCGACAGGGAGAGTATCTATGGCCCCTCACTTTCGAGCACGACCTGATTGAGTACGACCCCAGCAAGCCACAGTTTGAACTGAAGACCAATGATCCTGATGTTCTGGCTTCTACCTCCCCGACTTTGTCAAGGAAGAGCACAATTTCCAAGTCCATGATGGACATGTGACAAAGGATGACCAGACCAATCGAATCAAGGGTCAACTGCTGAAAACCATGGATGTGCACCTCACCACCCACATTAATGACATGTCTACTTACCTCACTCAGGAGTTGCATCGACCACCAAGACCAAGGGTCCTATGGGAAGTATATTGTGGTAAGGTCCGCACTTCTGAGATGGCAACAGTCTTTGGCATGGAAACCAGGCAGTTCTCCCTGGACACTGGCTGGAACTTCGACTCCCTCGACCACCAACAGCAGTTCTTGGACTTCCTCGATGACGAGATGCCAGAAGAACTCCCGCTCACTCCGGTTTGCAAGTTATGGTCTCGCATGCAGTCGCTTGGCCGAAGAACTGTATACCAGCGGGAAGCTCTCGTTGCTGCTCGCCAATGGCATCGTGACCGACATTTATGCTTTGTCCGCGAGGCCTATCTTCGACAGGTCAAAGGAGGAAGACATGCTCACATTGAGCAGCCTCGCGATGCTAGGTCATGGCAAACTCGAGCACTTCGTGACCTACCTGGCCGACTGACCGATTTCTCTCAATGTCGGTATGGAGCTCAGTACCTTGATGAGGACAAACAATGGCGACCTGTTCTCAAGAACACTCGGATCCTCACCACCAAGAAGGCTGTGCAGGAAACCATGTGTCTCCAATGCCTCCACGATCACCAGCATTGTCGCCTCGAAGGCTCTGCGCATGGTCTCGGCTCTCGCACCCGCTACATGGAAGATTTTCAACCTGGGTTGGCGACAAGTCTTGCTGGAGCTTTGAGCATTGATGAACCTGCAACATTGTGGGAGCACGCTCACTACACCGTGGACTATGCCTTCGCCACTGAGGAGAAAGAGCTGACAGGCGCTCTAGTGAAACTGAGCGCGGAAACGAAGCAGGAAGCAATCAGAGTGGTTCAGCGC